GGGGCCTCTAGGCCTGGCTGGCCCGGGAAGAAAAGGTCGAGAGTTCACTGTCGACAGGTGCCAAGACCAGAGCGCCAGGGAGTGAGGAGACTCCAGTTCCTCCGGGGGGGCCAGGTGTGCAGGGGGACCTGCCTCTGCTGAAACCTGCCCTGAAGCCAGGCACCCGGCGGTGCTGGGCTGTTAGCTTACTTTTAGGATGGCTTTAATATTTTGACCTGGGGGGCTCCCAACCACCCAGCCCTGCTCTCCATGGCCTTTCAGATACAAGGATGAATGGTCGCCTGACTTCAACAGGAGAGATGAAGCTAGAGAGACACTGAAGGAACATCTGAGTTTCGGGCAAATGTACCTTCATGCACAAGGCTCAGGATTCTGAAAAGTCTTCCTAAAATCATGGTGAAATTGCTAAGAGGCAAGAGGACTTATTTTCTCTTCACGCTGTGTCTACACGGAGGCACCGATGGTAAAGAGCAAGCCCCCTCTCCTCCCACCTCCTGCTGTTCTGTCAGGACTTCGAGCATTTACAGCATTTACGGTGACAGTCTTGGGTCCTCAGAGGTCCCTGCACTGCCACGGTGACTGTCCCCCCACCCTGTGCCAGCTGTACCATCCCCTCCTCCCTCTCCGAGAGGCCGATGCAAGTTGAATGGACTCAGGAGAGGCCTTGGACACACCGAGGATGTCTTCCCAACACTTCTTCACACAAAACCCAAATTTCATTGATGGTCCATCTGTTCCCTCAGTAGAATGTGAGGTTTAGAAGGCACCTCGGCATCACCCAGGGAAACCCTCTCATTTTCGTGACCAGGAGGTGGAAGTCTCAACAGGCTGTCGCCAGGCAAAGCTGACAGAGCTGGGACAGGAATTAGGGGTCCACAGCCAGTGCCCCGCCTCCCACAAATCCAGAAAACACCATATCAGGGAGCTAACTGCCCCGTGCTGGGCTTGACGAGCTGGCAGAGCTGCAGGTGGGGGCCCGTGGCCCTGCAGAAGGGCTGCCCCCAGTCAGCTACAGAGCTCTCATCATGAACCCCACGGGCCAAGCGTGACCTGTGGAGGAGACGGGCAGGCAGAGCGAGGCCAGGTCTCACCCCAAAAGGAGAGGGTGCTGATGCCCATGTGGGGAAGGGGCGTTAGGGCCTCACCCTCCTGAGCCCGAGCCCTGGGACACGCCCCCAGCAGGTGGGAGTCGGCTTCGGAGGGGCTGCTGAGAGGCAGCCGGGAAGGGAGGCTGTGGCTGCCTCTCTCCCAGACAGTCCGGGGCCTCGGACAAGCAGGTGTCGCGACTCCTTTCTGTCTAGAGCCGGGGCGGCAGCGAAGGCCAGGAACAGCTGGGCAGGGGGATTAGCACTGCCTATAACGGGCCCAGCTGCAAACGGTCCCAGCACACGTGTGAGCGTCCTTCTTGGCCGCGCACAGGTGGAGGCCCCTTCCCGCTCCGCCACCAGCCGGCCGGCCCAGAATAGCTCCGCAGCAGCGGCGCAGGCCGTGGAGTTCGGAGCCACTGCCGTCCCGGAGAGAAAGGCTGTACAAAGCCTGCCACAGCTGCCAGGCAGCGGGGGCACCCACAGGCCCCAGGTCTGGGCCGGGCACCGCAAGAGCCCGCATGAGGTCCTCGGGGTCTTTTAAGCTGACCCCTCATTCTGCCAGAGCTCAGCAAGGGGGAGGGGTCCACCGACTTCCACAAGGTGGCAGAGCCCACGGAGGCCACCCCTGACCAGGTGCTGCCTCTATCTGGGCCCGCCCGCAGCTCACTCCCTGCACCTGCTCCCACGTCCGCCGGGAGAACAGAGGACTGAAGGGAGCGCAGTGCTCATGGGATACAAATACAAAACGAATTAAACGGCCAGATGAGCCACAGAAGTGAGATGCTCGTTAAGATGAAGAAACTGCCCTTGAACCCTGGGTGCACCGGCGCCAAGTGTCCTCCCCAGTTGGCAGCAGTTGCCGGCTCTGCATGGTTGCCGGGCGTCGCCATGGCAGCCAGAGGTCTCCACAGAAGCATGACTTTAAGTCCTCAGGAAACTAAGTAAAACACCAGTTTGGGTTCCTAAATAGCACCTCTGGGTAAGCTTTGGTAACATACCATGTACTTACTGATGGGTAAACAGCCCTTAGTCGCAAGCGGAAGGAATTTCCATGAGCTTCGGCCACTGCCTGCGAGAGCTGAA